CAGCAGGAGTGGCCAGGGGGAGAGCACCTCTTCCTGAAAGCCGTCAATAAGATCTGCCAACAAGGAAATTTCCAATACGAGAACTTTTTCAATTATGTTACAAGTATCCTTTGTTTATTGTTTAAGTAAACAAATCTTGATTGTTTTAGAATGAGTGTGTGATACCAAAAGGAGCGGCCCAATTCTGGGTAGAAGTCATGGACTTTGCTGTTTAGGAGGGAAAAAGTGAATGATTGAAAATGGGGCCGTGGCGATGGGTCGTAATGGAAGAAGAAACCCAGGGACGCGGGGCTGTCAACAGCCCTGTTCTGTGTTGATGCAGTTGGCACCAAAGGCCTACGAGTTCCCGAGAGGCCCAGAGGAGCCGGTTTGGCTATGGAGCCTGAGTTTCTGGGCCGTCCCCTGCCCGCAGCCCTTCCAGGACTGGTTGTCCCTGGGCTCAGTCGACACCCACAGCTGTCAGAGCCGCCGTGAGCACCTGCCGGACAAGCCACCCAGGATAGGTGATGCTTCATCTCTCTCTGGTCAGGGAGAGACCTTGGGAGGCTGTGTAGTAGCTTGGCGGTTTCTACCTTAGTGTACTTTATTTGATTGATTGATTGATTGATTTAAGAGCAGTTTTTGCCATAGGGCATGTGCACTTGTTGGAGAGACAGAGAGAGGCATAGAGACAAAAAGTGAGAAATCACCCCCGCGGGGATGGCCACGCCACAATCCCTTCTCCTCTGTTCTCCTCTCCGGATCTTAGGCATGTACGTACACACGCTTGGCATGAGTTTAAGCCACCAGGTCCAGGACTGGAACCGCAGTCAACTACCTGGGGTCCAGTGACGTAACCATTATGCCGTGTGCTGGTCCCCCGATACCTTATTTTTGAGTTGTTAGGAATATGATACCCTTGTCCAAGTATCTAGAGCACTAGGGTTTTTTACTTTGTTTTTATTTTTTTGTTTTTGTTTTGTTTTAGGTTTCTGCTGTAGGGTGTGTGTGCTCACCAGAGAGACACAGAGAGTGGGAAAGTGACAAAATCACCCCCCAGGTGTGATGGTCATGTCACAATACCCTCTTCATTCTCCTGGGATTTGGGGCACACACACACACACAAACACACATGTACCTGGCATGGCTTTCAAACTGCTGGGCCTGGGACTCTAACCATGACTGGCCATGTGGGAGTTCAGCACCTTAACCACTGTGCCATCTCCTGGTCCCTAGAGCACTAGTGTTTAACCGTTTGAAGATTTGATAAAAAGAAAACCATATGTATGAATGTCATCAACATTTTGCATAAAATTTGGGAGGTTCACAGGAGCTTCCTCTCCTGAAGCATCTAAAAATTATTGCACTTAAATAGGAAGATGTAATCACTTTATTTTTATGAATTTCATATTCTATAAGCCAAATAAGTTCTTCCCTACTCCAGCTGCCTCGTTCATTTCTTAAGAAAACAGGAAGTTGTGTCCTTGTAGCCGTGGAGGGTTCTATGAACTGTGAAAAGTGCGTTGTCCTGCGATCCTTTCCCTTGGCAGATCTTACGCCAAGAGGGATCCTTTGTGACGCGGTTTGGTTGGTGTAAGAATCGTGCAGACAGGCCTGGGTTCCAATGCTGACTTGCAAATGTTAGTGGGATGGCCACAGGCCACAGGCAGGTTACCCAGCTGCCGCGAGCCTGTTTCCTGGTCAGAGAGGACGGGGCCATGGTTTTACGTGTGGTGAGCCTGAACCCGACCCGCAGACATCGATATGCTGGAGGAATTTGCCTACTTAAGGACTCAGGAAGGCGGGAAAATCCACCTGGAGTTACTGCCCAATCAAGGAATGCTGATCAAGTAAGTGTCTGGCTTTAGCTCTGCCCCTCCGAGTCTACAGTCTGGCGTGCTTGTCGGAAATGTCTGTCAATTTCTCGTCCTTCCAAAAACGTAACAGAAAGGAATCTAAACCCGGTCTCTGTTTTGGAGAGTCCATTTCATTCAGGTTACCTTTTTTAAAAACTTAGATTTCTGAAGAAACTATTTAAAGTGGGATTATTTCTGCTACTTTTGAACCCTTTACACTAGACAGACGTCTCGTCCCTGGTGTGTTTTCCCTCCCCAAATTAACCAGGATCCTATGAATTTCTGATGAGACCCAGTGTATTTTTAATTAAGAGTAGCCGTGCTTAAAGTTGTGCTCGGTTAGGAAAATTCACCAGGAACAACTACAGTATTTATAAACTCTGTTTGACTGCCCCTAAACAGTCCTCACTGTGTAAATAACACCAAAAAATAGCTGAGTGAGTGCCTGAAGAACACACCTGCCCAGGACGTGATGGCAGGGACGCTAGGTCTCAGGCATGGCCCCCGCCCCCATGACCCACAGGACATTACTCAAAGTCCCGGTTGGCTCAGATGGAAATACCGAGTCAGTGGCCATTTATGATTTTTAAATAACTCATGAATTTTGCTTCTCTCCTTTGACCCTCCTCGTAGTGTGGGTGAATATCCTCCCCACCCCCGCTGTAAACGCCACGTGCAGTTTTATTTGCGTCCTCGCTCCTTTGCTTCCTGCATTTTCAGTGTGTTGTTGAGTCAGTGTTAGTTCCCACAGGAGACCGAGGGAGGAGAAGGCAGGGCTGAGGCTGAAAGCATTTTTCTTTTTCCCTCAACTGTGGAGCAGATTTTCAGTAATTGAATCCAAACTCCACCTCTTGTCTCGTCTTTGTAGAGTCTTCGAGATGTCGGAGCAGGGAAGTAAGAAATGTGGATTCTAGATTCTGCCCCCTCGGTCAGTGGGGGCACAGCAGTCATTCCTTTCTGCGTCCTGTAAAAATAAGGTCTCACGGAGTCCTTCCTAAAGAACGTGAACATTAACTATCCCCCCTTCATCTCGTAGATGTTATTAAACTTTCTGAACATTTTGGGACCAGCAGATGGCATAATAGTTATGTCGCTGGACTCCCACATGGCCAACCATGGTTCGAGTCCCAGATCTGGTGACTTGAAACTCACACCAAGTGCCTGTGTGTGCATGCCCAAAATCCTGAGAGGAGAATGGAGGAGACGGGATTGTAGCATGGCCATCCCCCCTGGAGGAGGTGATCTCTCATTTTCTGCCTCCTTGTCTATCTGGCAAGCACATGTGCCCTATAGCAAAAATCTCTCTAAGAAAAAAAAAAAATCAGAACATTTTATATGAAAGAACAAATACCCTTGTTTAAAACCATGAGACAGTTGTACCGTAGGCTTTTCAGGCCACATGGACTGGGCACTCCCCTCCTCCGCCCATCCCTCTGACCTCTAACATGAGGCGCAGCCGTGGGGGAGGTCATTGCCTGGTTCCAAATACTCCTATCAGTGCTCAAGAATAAGGGTGACCTTTTGATATGGGAGCCCAGGTAACCCCTTCTGTGTGTGATTCTTTTCCAGGTTTGGAAACTGAATATACAAACATATCTGTAAGAAAGCATTTCAGTTCCTCCCCACCAACAATCACCGTATAAGTTATTGCTATATCAAGGCAGCCTTAGTAGAGCCCAACTCCAGCTGCACAGAGTTAAAGGTTTACTTAAGATAATGCTTGGCAACTCACGGAAGTGTGAGAGATTGGATGGTCAAAAAAGCAGGAATTGCACGTCAGGCTTCATTGCACTGAACCTTTCTTCTCTGACCAGTTTTGACTGAACTGAGCAGTGACACGGTGCATACAGACACTCCCTGGGGCAGGAGATTAAAGCCTGGAGTGCTGATAGCCAGATCATGTCCCTGGAGAGGGTGATTTGAGAGCAAAGGCAGTTCAGTAGTGGGGACATACAGTCATGCATTTCTGGCTTTGGAGGGGGGTAATTCAGGCCCTTCTGCATTGACTGGAATAGCCCTTAATTATTTCTGACTGCCCGGAGAAGACCAGCCTTTTAGGAAACTGGCAGCCTCATGGGTTTGGAAGCAGAGATAGGGCTGGTTACTTAGTGATCCAACCTGGGCGGAGCCTGCCCAGGTGAGTCTCCAAGTCGATGGAAACTGACCTGTCAAACTGCTAGCAGGGAACTGTGAGAGACAGTGCAAGCTCTTGCTCATCGAGGTACGATGAGGACCTTAAATAAAACCATCTGTATTCCTTTCCCTTCTGGGCTCCAAACACATCCTCTGAAGTCCCTGCAGACCCCTTGGGTGGCTCCCGCAGAGCACAGAGATGTGAGCGGTGGGCGTGCAGCCCCCGCCCCGGGTAAGGCTGGGAGCCCATGCTAGCGATGGTCTCTCGGATAGAAGCAGGTACAGTACGAACACGGGGGCACCTGCTGCCCAACCCCTGACCCGAGGGAGGGGTGCCTCAGACATTTCACTCTGACGTTTTCTAACCTAGAGAATGTGTCTGTGCAGATATTTAGAGTGCCTTGGTCACATGTGATGGGGTTACAGTGGAAAGCCATGTCCTATGTGTGCGCTGAACAGGTGGAAAATGATGTCCTACGAGGTGGTCACCAGCTAGCATCCTAACTCCTGCAAAGCCTTGGGTCCCAGACTCTTTCTCCCCTCCGTCCTTTTCTCAACCCTTTTTTGAAATTCAGTTTGACCCTTCCTTTGTCAAAGGCATCAGCAGCCCCTCTAGTCCTCTCACAAGGGCCCTCCAGGGGCTCCAGTCCTGTCAAAGATGGTTACCGAAGTGACCATGTTTATTTCCAGGATTGGCGTGGACTGGGAGCCCCTCTCCCCACCGCCATTCAATCGCGTCTCATCGTCGTCCTCAGGGCTGCATTTTGTCCCCAATCCCAAGTGGGCTGAGCTCTGGGACCAGGAACAAGAAGCCTCTGGGCACAGTGGGCGCAGGAAGGGCTCGCTGGCTTCTGCCCGTCTTGGCCACGCCGCTGCAGCCAGGGACTCGCTGAGGTTCAAGAGTTTCTGTACCGCCTGCTTCCAGTCCTGTGTGTTTTCCCTGGAGTGTTGTTTTGCAGTGCAGGGTGAGCCGGTGTGGGTGTTGAATGCTGCTGTTTGCTGTTTTTTAAAGGCCTTCTAGCTCTCCCATGGGGTTAC